GAGCAGATTCAATGAAAAGCGTCAGAAACCTTACAATGATTCAAAAACTTAACTATTCATTAAAAAATTCAAAAAGGAATAGAAATTTTCAACAGGACAAGAAGTCTTGTTCATCTCCAAACCTTGCTAAATCGTGGCTGGAGATACTCCTAGACGTGAGAAGACATAATGATATCATGTACACATGTACAATTGTGTCCATTGTTGCAACTGATTGTGTATCGCTTGTTCATCAACAATCTGCCGGTCAATACGATTGAATATTGGGATATTCGATCGAATTAAAGGGCAAATATTTGAACAGTGAATTATTGGAATTGACACAGCCCACCACTTCAAGGGGTACCAATTTAGTTGCATGCATATATTGAACCTTTGTGCGCTTAAACTGGAATTGACACAAACATGTATGTATATCCAATTTCAAATTTCACAAAATTCGCCCCCCAAAAAGCCTTAAGGGTTGCACCTTCTGCATGCATACAGGAAGCCAGCCAATGTGGCCAGGAAACATATTCAAGTGGCAACATGAGCAATGTAAATGTATATATGTAGCAATGCTGAAAATCTGGGAAGCTTCATGTAATTTATGCATACAGCTAGCAGCACCTTCTGACAACTCTGGAACAGAGTCTTAGGCTTTCCTGGAAAGAAATTATTGTAGATTCTTGGCTTGCCAGCTGGCCCCAACTGTGTTATTATTATGCAGCCATTGTTTATTCACAATATTGGCCGCTTCTGACCTTGCGGTCCCGGCCAGTAGTCTGTGGGTAGCTTACAACAGAGTCAAGCTAGTGTTCAAGTTCGTGCTACAAATGCATGACCATTCATATTTCATTAAGTTCGAATTATCTTTCCATTTGTTTATTTTTTAGGATAACTCAGTAAAAATGTATTAAAAAAGGTTCAGACGTGATCCAAGGGGAGATAGTACTTTGCAGCCCGCCAGCAGTGTCCAATAAGATCAGGACCTTGGGTCTGGGGAGGAATTGTCCATTTGTCCCATTATCTGGGCTCTAAATCAGCTGTGAAATGGCCTTTTCTGCCTGGGGGCAATTTTTGGGCAATGTGAAATTACCCGACACCATGCTGATACTGTCAATATAAAAAAAACGACAAAGCATAATCAAATAAGAAAAAAAAAAACAGCTACAAGGCAAGAGACACAGGATTGGAATCTTTTTGCCTGACAGCCCTCATTTTCTGGTGAGAAATCAAATTTATTTTTTGTCTCATAATATTTCTACGTGGTACAACTCGAATTAAACAAGAAAAGGTTTACATTTTCACTTTTTGTCTCTCGTTTTGCCTTTAAGATTACAAGTTCCTTTTGGACTTTACAGCAGAGACTTTTGACATGGTGATATTTAACAGTCTCAATAAATTCCCTACAGGTCCATTATAAGTCATCCTGTCTATAAAGTCAAGTTTCATGGCAAGCTTTGCAAATGAACCATGACAAAGGCGTTCCTTTGTCACCATTCATCCTGTTATTTTTGATGGGACTTGTCAATGGATTTGTGATGAACTTGACGACCACAACTTGACTCAAGGCAAAACCAAACCTTTATACACAACTCTATACCGTATGTACCGGTATACTGATAGAACAGATTGTTTTAACATTTCAAAATGTGATTATTCATTTTTGTTGGCCGCCACTTTGGCTTTATTTCTGTCACAAGCTACGCTAAGCTGTATCCTTAAATGCAAAGATGCCACAGACTAAGCTACACCACAGATCAGCACACTGCACTTAATCCTTTGTTTATCGCTGGTGTGGGGCACAGATGCCAAGTGGAGCTTCCATGCATCACAGGCAACCAGCCTGCTAATTTTCTGTTATTGCCACTGACATGCACACCATACCAGTACGCACCCTGTAACTCTGTCAAAAAATACACAGAAATTGTAGGGACTTTGCTAAAAAATCTATCGCCATCTGTCATCTTCCACCAATTCCAAAAGATGTTACATAAAAAGTAATGGAAGCCTGATAATTTTTTCAACGCTCAACAGCACAGCCAGGGTACTTCTGCCACTTCAGAGCCACTTGAGCTAGAGCACAGGGTTCCAAGTCATGTTTCTCCAACAATCCATCCTTTTCAAAGACAGATTAATATGTAGACAGCCTGCTGTGCAAATCATCTATGTCAGGTGGTATTACAATTTGTGGGGGCTTTTAAGAGATCCAGGTCTGTCCCCAGGGCCCCATGGGACACCTGGGGTCACTTGCAGACTGTTAAGCAATCTGATATGTAATTCACATTTGATACTTGAAGGATTATTAGTCAGGGCAGACCTCAGCTGGAAAGCTGTGAAGCTGTGTGACGATCAACAACAATATGAATTGGAATAACAGATGATGTCTGACCACTTGGTAATGACAGACAGGGACGGGAGACATTCACTGATCTTACTTGGACAATTAAGCATTGATGGAGTATTGTGTACCTTACACATTGTGCAGGCATATTATGTGCTCAGGATGACATTGGCTGTACACATACATGTACACTGTACATGAACGAAATACCTACAGTACATACAATGTACTTCTGTAATACAAGTAGACGAACGTGCATTGCTGTTGTCTCCATGGTGTCTTACAGACTGTTTTTGTTATTTCGATTTAATTACAACGAATGCACAAAAGGTTTACTCAAGCCTATCCCAGTGATAAAAAACCCAGGCTCTCTGAGGAGAGAGAATGCATTAACGCATAACCGCCATAAAACCTAGCTCTACATGTACCAGTATATTGTATTGTCTAAAAAATGCAATCATCACGCAAAGTAGATGTATGTGTAGGCCTACATAATACGGGTCTTTCACAATAGTGCGCCTCCAAGAGTTTGTGATGTGCGAAATCTGTTGACTGACCCTTTCCAAACGTGCACTGGATCGACAGATTTCGCGCATTGTGATTGGCCAAAGCGTTGCAAACTCTTGGAGGCGCACTTTTGCAAAACACCCATATTATGTACTGGTACACACCTCAACCATTAGTGAATACACCGGTAAAGCTATGTGTACAGTCTGAATAGAACACGTATACCGGTACATGAACCAGTAGCAGTGGTCTAAAAGTTTCGCACATGTTCTGTAGATCTAATCTTCTCTAAACCCAAGAAACTAATTAAACTTGGAAGAGAACAGCTTTTTAACCTACCAAATTATCAAAATCACCTGAGTTTGCCTTCTACTGACAACCGGTGTACCGGTACATGTACCGGGATGTGTCCAAGAACATTGAACAGGGACATAAATGATTGGTACTGGTACATTCATTATTATCTGAAAAACACCAAAGAACAACCTGAAACACAATACGGGAAGTCAAAGTAATACGTCAGTGACGGATCAGAAAATGGGGAAGTGTTTTAGCTTGATTTATACAGCAATCTGGGGCCTTGTTAATCAGAAAACACAGTGATATACTGAGGCAGCAAACCGCAGCATGAATGAAAATTAGTGAACTGTCTTTTGAAACTAATCACTTTCCTGTTTTGTCTCCCAAAACATATGAAGAAAATGGAACGAAATGGAGTGATGAGTTGGAACTATACTGTTGGCCTAGATCTGATGACAAGGAATCCGGAACTGTGATCATTACTTGTCTAAACTAATGCAACAGCAGGACACCAGGATGTGGGAGCTTACTTTGGCTGTCGGCCAATTTAATGACCAAGCAAGCAGCGCATGCAATAGTTTAGTACAGCGCATTCCCACTTCAATTGGGAAAAGGTGGATCTTGATGCGGCATTTTGGTGTGATCATTATCTTACCACAAGTCACGTTCCCACTTATGCTTGATCCACCTTTTTGGATGGAAATTTTCGAGCCCAAAAGGTCACTGAGTTCGGTATTGCACATGTGCTAGCTTGCTGAGTGCGCGCTCTGTTGCAGTGTTGCATACTGGGGCGGCATGCTGTGACCCTGCGGTGTTTTGGGTGTGGGCTTCTACTGACATGACGACCTTGAATTGGGTCAAATGTTCAGCCTAGTCTGTTGTCTTTTCAAACTTTTCTTCCGAGAAATAGCACAAATGAAAAAGGTTAAGAAAGGGACGAATGCGCAACGAAAATTGTGAAAGGGCAAGGCACACATTACGACATGCATGCATTGCGCATGTGGGGTGACACATTTTGCTAGCCCGTAATAAGCAGTTGTTTATTGTGCACGCTGTGCACGTTAAAAATTTCACATGAGCTACACGCCAAAAAACGTATTTCTTTGTTCATCAGACCACAAAAGTTTCATGCAACTCGAGCACAGAGGGATGTGGACAGGTCAAATTGCCGGATCAGATCAACCTTTTGCGTTCCCATCTAATCGTGATCCACCAATTGCAGGATCTGATCCACCAATTGGGGGATCTGATCCACCAATTGGGGGATCTGATCCACCAATTGGGGGATCTGTATCCTGCTCCAGAGGAGGATCAAGAAAGGTGGATCTGATCCTGATCCACTTTATAATGGTTAGCATTCCCACTACACACAATTGCCGGATCTGATCCACCAATTGCCGGATCTGATCCACCAATTGGGGGATCTGATCTGGCAATTTAGCGAAAGGTGGATCAGATCTCCCAATTGGTGGATCAAGTGGGAACGGGCTGTAAAACCTGGGCATTAATATGGGCAGTTTTTCTGGAGCTGATTTGCGACTCCATCGGGGAGCTCATGAAAGGGATAACCTCAATCAACTCCATCAGCTGGTAACTTTGAAGAGAGCTAGTAACATTTGTTATGCTGTATTTTTTAACCACCAAAAATAACTTGAAATTCACCGCTTTCACAAAAAAATATACAGCAGATTTGTAGATCAGCTTCCTCAGAAATTCAATGTTTGATATGTTTTGAGCATTAATCCCTGACCTCAGGCATAATGGAGTTGAAATTTTCTTGATCAATGGTGTTGGCTGTAACATGTACAGAACTTGCTTAGAAAATGTGGCAAATTTCCTATGACAAAAGAGTGAAAACTGTGCTTACCTGAAGAATTCCTTCCACAGATCAGGTGTTCAAATGGTTGCAAGATCCCCCACAGGTTGGCATCATTGGCAATGCCGTACTCCAAGACAGCCATCGTGAGTTCCCCATCAGTCCTCTCATAGTCTACACAGGCTCGGCAGAACATTTCCACCATAAGGCTCTCCATGCAGGCCGTCAGGTAAACAGCTGCATGGTTGTCCACGCGGACAGCAACCTTGGTGTCCACCAGCCAGCGGAAGAATCGCCCCACAGGGAAAATCAGCCCCGCCCGGGTGCGCTTACCGTCTTGGCTGCACTCGGAGCTCATCTGGAATAGAGAGAGGGCGCGCAAGGCGGCTGAGAGGCAGACCTCTGATAGGGGCTGGGACAGGATCAGCTTGATGGCTGTGTGGATCTCGTTCTTGGTGCACTTCCCATACCCAGCACTCAGTCGCTGTGCCTCCTTTGCAATCCTCACTAGCGGCCGCTGTAAGAGGAACGATAGCCTCTGGACGACATCATAGGGGATGGCTTTGACTATCTGCCGGACCCGCTCAGTCTGAAGCACACGGGCCACATGCCGCTCCCCCCAGGGGATCTTATCCAGCTCCGTGAGCCGGTCATGGCGCTCGCCACACTCAAACTCGTCACCCACACTCGTGCTGAGTGTGTCTAAGCTGCCGCGGTGGTTGCTGTCCCAGTCGTGACCAGAGCTGTGATTGGCCCGGCTGCAGCGTGACATGGACGAGTTTCTAGAGAAGGATGAGTTCCTGGAGGCCGAGGAGTTGGAGCGTGAGTTGGAAGAGTGACTCATGCTTGTGGAGGAACCAGTAGATTCATAAGATGATGGACTGTCCATTTGCATCCGTTCAAAAGTGGAGTTCAGAGTTCCAATGCCAGCCATAGAGGGGTTCACGTATGTACAATCCCTTCACATCTAATCACATCATAAGTTATTTGTTACAGTACATGTAAAACACTCAGGTTGAAGTTGGAAGCCTTGATCTTTGTATCTGTCTGGAATACAAACAAAAATGATAGTAACGCTTCTGAGCCAAAATTGTCATCCTATGGTGATCTAACCATGACAGTAATGGCTAAAGACAAATTTGTCGCGAAGTAATTCCACTCCTAAAAAAAGACGCATCCTACATGCATCTCAAGCTTCAAATTTTCCAGAGCCTTCATGCTGGCAAAAGACCTACATATACCGGTAACACTGGTATGGCTTTGCACAAGCTACCAGGAACATGTACTTGTATACATGTACTATTACCTGTCCACATAAACTATATCAACTTACATACATGTACAAATGTACCTTTTCAAACTTGACCCAAAGAATATTGTGCACACCCCTCTGAAATATTCTAGATCCACCCTTAATGGGGTTTGTTGTTGACAAAATCAATTATACTGTACCGGCCAATTTAAACAATTTCTAACAATACAAAGTACATACTGTAGACGCAAATGCAACCAACACAAAACCAAGCATACAGTGTATGGCACAAAACCCAACCAAACCCAACAAACTGATCCAACTGAACTGATGTGGATGTAATATAAAAATTGTAAGACTCTGCAAAACTCATGTTTGTAAACACAACGAGCACGCCGTTGTGAAATACATGGTTTCCTAACACTCAAGCTTTCCAAAGTTGACTCTGACACCGGCTTGCAGATGTGGTGAACAAACACAAAAGGGGCGTCATTTCTAATCGTCCCTTGAATGTGCAATAACAGGATATCAAACCTGATCGCCCATTTCCCATTTTCCATTGAAAAGAAACCGAACCCTGGGGCCCCAGCGGAAGTCTTTGCCACTTTTCAGCCCGACTCGGCCGTCAAAGCACGTCAATGACTTCCTCAGAATTCAACCGCTGAGCAAACCACAAAGAGACACTGTGGGCCACTGGCCGTATCACATCCTTTTGTTTTAGTGAGAAATAACAGCTCTAGGTACATGTGCATGTACAAGCCACACTAGACATTTTGGTCAATGGCTCTCAGTCCAAACAAAATTTATGCAATGTTATTCACTCTAAGTCATGTCATGTTCAGGTATTTTCTCATGTATGCACTTCATTCTAAAAAAAAATTATCTGTAATAATTCAACTGCCCCTCCCCTGCCTTTACTCCATCCATTCACCGTGAATCAACAAGATAACCAGCCAAGACAGTTGGGGGCACTTTTTGACTGGAAAAGCATGCCCCCCCCTCCACTTTCGGTCAGAACACAATGGGTGGATCTTAATGGACTCCCCCCTTTGAAAATCATTGGTCGCTATTGGAAGTCTCCATTAAAGAGAAATGGCATTGCAGAGAGTGAGAGCTGTTTTGATGAAGGTCTTTGTACCTTCCGGGAATTTTTGTTTGGGGGGGGCCAACCACTCAACCAAACCGGTGTCAATCTTCCAATTATTCTTTTCACCACACCTTGAACACAAAGTGCCATTTCTCTACTGTACCTGTGTCTGTAGCCTGTGACCCACACACCCCATCCTCAACTCTCCTTTAGACATCAAAACATTCCAATAGAGCTGAATAAAGGTCGAGTTTCTCCATTCACAATCAAGAAGACCAGAGTGCCAGTCAAGCAGGTTTTTTCAAATCACAATTCGGGTCAACAAATCATTTTTTCCTCCAAAACATAATACTGGTACAAGGAGAATAAAATATCTGTGCTACAGGCCAGCATACACTGCACCGTACCTTAGGGCAAAGAAGGCAATAAAAATAAAATCAAGTGACTTAAATTGACTTTATTAATTCCCACTAGAGTGAACCCTGTGATTCGGAGGGGATCTGTAGAGGGGCTGGTGTGGAATACCTGACAGGATTAGGCAGGGGACCATTGTCAGCACTCAATGAACCAAAATGCCCCTCCACAACACGCACCTCAGCAACTTTGCTGGACCCTGACTGTACCACAAAGGCTCAAAAAAACTGCTAATCCCCCCAAGAATTCAAAAATCTGACTTTGCTGAACTGTTGTCAGAAGCCAAAGCATTTGCAGAAATTTCAAATCTGCTTGAATGACTCATGCATAGGAAATCCAAGAAGCTCACTTTCTTGATTATTTCCTCATGGTCCCATTCCATGTAAAAGTTGGCCATTCACACTGTCATTACAGTGGATACAGTACATGTATGTTGTTCCAAGCTTATTATGAGAGCTATTACATGTACCTTTGCTTAGCAATTTTGGCCTCTGCAATTATCCAGTGAGACTCACCAGGGCTTGTCTCCAACCTATGTTCTGCAGAAAGTGTACCTTTCTGGTTTAGTGCAAAGCAGGGAACCTCTAGAATCTTGCCACAAGGACAACTGACTAATTATGATCCTTGGGTGTGCTACTTGAGTGCCCTGCTGAATTCTTGACCAGGCAGTGGGGTTGGCAACACCATTACATGTAGGCACAACAATGCAGGGTTCATTTCTTGTAATCAGTGTGGCACACACTGCATGGTTACAGCACAAGGTATTCAAACTGTAAATAAAAATCATTTGGCATTACTGTTTCTTGTGTCAACTCAAACTGCCTCAAAGCTGGACATTCTTAAAACAGGAGGGGAGGCATGTGATTATATGATTTCACAATTTAGCATTTTTGCATTGTGTTGGACTGAACCACTTTTGAGACTTTTTGTTCATACAACTTCCAAGCATACAAGTAGCTACCGGTACCAGTACTGATACAGTCAGCCTAGATACGCTTGGAGAAATTTTAAATGGAAGTCCACTATCACGGTTGTGAGTAGCACTCGCTGCAAGTCAGTAGCAGTTGATTCTACAACGCACAACAAAAGAGCAATAAAGCACTTCGCAAACATGCATGAATGTGTACGCTACATCTGTTGGTTCAGACTTGGTGTAACCATGGTCTCTCTTCTTTTCTTGAGGTTGTTGAAAGTACCAGTTGTAGCCACAGGCTGATTTCAACCATACACATGTAGATCTCTGAACTTTAAAAAGACAGATTCTCATGTCTGGCCTTAGGGAGAAGCACACATATTATTTTTCTCTGTATACTGGCAACTAGCGCAAATTGAAGAGCACGACAAATCTTTTTTTCTAGTGGTCTTGACAAAATTGAAGAAGAACAAAGTAAATTTCAAAAGTCCTCAACAAAAAAATGCAAATCAAGTGTGAAACATCTCTCAATGACTGCACAAATAAAATCTGCAGTGCTCTTTGTTGAATGTAAAGGTCCGCTTTCCATCACTAAAATAACAACTTTTAAAAAAATCAATGCCTTTTGAAGCATCTGTCTGTCATCACAGTACTCCATAAAGAAATTAAGGAGAAAAAATATGACCTGTCAAATTCTCTCACGGTAATGGACGATGAAGTGCTTAAGAACAGCTTGCCACATGGGGAAATCTTCACTCCAAGAAGTGACAAATTAGTTGTAATGATTTTCATGAAAAGGGACATACAACAACAAACAAGTATTGAGAAGCAGCACTGTTCAGTGTGCACACGATCCACAGGGGGGTACAAACCTTTTTAAATAAAAGAATTTCCTAACAAAACTGGAAATGTCTCTCAAGCTTTCAGTCCCATTTTATGGGGGAGACTAGTGGGTTTGCAATGACTGGCTATCTTTTGGCTTTCACATTAGACGAAAATGTGACATCAACAGCCAGGATTCTTTCCCTCAAGAAAACACCAGGAGAAAAAGGAAGGACAACAATCACACACACACAGAGGAGAGGAAATTGAAGTGGGTTTGTGCTCATCTCGGCAGTGACCAAAAAGATCCCTCTTTCAAACTGTTTAGACTGGGGGGATGGGGTAAAGTTGTCACACAGACACAGAGCTGCCACAGCACAACTGCTGCATCCCATGCACCAGGTTTGCATGTGGGATCCAACACTTTTTGGGTAATAAATCAGAACTATCATTTATTTAGTCAATCCGTCAGTGATGTAAATGACAAATTTTAAGAGAAACTCTGTAGCTTATTTAACAGAGCCAAGCCAGTGTTACAAGTGAAAGTCTCCGTCAAAGAATTGTATCCTGGAAGGAAAACTATGTTGTTACACATTTTCTCACAATAGTGGCACACTAATCATAGTAAGGGGCCATCCACAATTTTCATCATTTTCATAAGTGTACAAAAAATAGACTTTTGTCTATCCCCCACCTCACTCTAAAGTGTACATCAGCGGGCAAAAAATGATGCTGAATGGAGAGGAGACGGATACGTTGATGGATCATCATTTTTCATATTCAGAAAAAGCGTACAGAGGTCTTTAATCCCCTCTCTCGTACAATTTGCACACTCGTGAAAATGATGGAAATTATAGACAGCCCCCAATGATGATCATTGATCAGTCTTGAAATTGAAAATGCTGACGACAGAGAACCTCATGAAAATATTCAACACTCCCCGCAAAGTTGTTACACAAGCAACGCAATGGTGTCTAAATGGGGAAATGCTGCATTTCTTTAAATCTTATGAAGGTCTGGAAAATCATTTCCCCATGGTAGCAATGGAAGCAATTTTCAAAACAGAGAGACCCCCAAGCGTTCACAGCAGCGGGGCAATGAGAGTCCGACGACCCGACAAAAACCACTTGCTAGCGGTCATTCAACAACACGTGCACGGTGATACACAACGGGTGCCTAGGAAAATAAACAATTCAGTAAAAACTTACCATGGCCGGTTAATCATTCCAAAAACCATGAATGAGGAAGTGTCCAGTATGATCATGACTAAAACTCGAAATATCCGAGTTAAATTGCAACCCTGTTCAGATCAGCAACCCGTTATTTTATGACAATCTGAAGTTTGCGTGGTCAAAGCTGTATTACAACAGTATCAACAGCGTAACGTAAAGACACCACGCAATCTGTCTACTACGGGTACGGGGCCGGGGCTCCACACGTGCATGCATGCTGCGCAGCAAAGTAAATACAGTTACTGTGCGCGCGCGCATACACGTCTGGTCACTGCTTTACACATCGTTATCTGCAAACCAATGAGACAGCAGATTGATTATTTGCATATAACTCGAGGAGTGCAGTCCAATCAGCATGCGGTATCCACAGGCCCAAGTGTGATTTGCCAAAGCTACGAAGAGTTCTCCATCACATCGCCACGCACTCAACGTATTGCTACCGTGTAATTTTCCAAAGAAAGTCATACTGTCTTTCGCTCAGCATCGATCACAATTTTGAAGCATCAGAAATAAGGACCACTCCCTCCATAACAACGACTTACAAAATAGCACGTGCCATCTATCTCACTACTATTTGAAATTAGAAAATAAAACGCTTACACTGTGGAACGTACAGCACACCCCTCTCCTTGAACCAGCCCGAACTGAGATTTTCATTCGTCACCCCATTGTTCTATTTTGATATATATCAATTAATGTCAGTTGTAATAGACCAGTTCGCCAATAAATTCTAATTTATGTGCATATGATTAGGATTTATTAGTGAACCGTCTATAAAATGTGTCCTGCGGACTGATAATTAAATACACTGTAAAATAAACCGGATTTCCGCCTGATCAGACTTCGCCAACAGAGGGCGCTACCCCAAACAACTCATGCCATCTCTAAGTGCTATAATCTGTGCACAATTTGCCTGCAGTCTCAATACTCAGGGGAAACAGAGTGGTAGAGTGTAAATTATTTTTGGTGGTGCATTTAATCATAATGAGAATAAACGTTTTTGAACCGTCAATTTTATATTTTGCAAGCCAAAATCTACCGTGACTTTTGTCCTAACAGTGACTTGGCATGTCCAGGGTGACTGAAATATCGACCGCCAGTGGGTTTCGGTATTGGCCACACGTACTGGCCGTTTTTCTTAAACACAGCATCAGATGCTCTCCTGATCTTCAGCAATGTATGCATGGGTGCCACGTCTTTGCCAATAATGTGGAGGCTTTTAGCTGGACACTCCTCGCTTGACGCACTGTGCATGAAATTGAACCACTCAATGCAACAAAAATCTCACCAGGAGATATTGATTCGAAGTGACTCCATTCCTTCGCGTTTTCGTTTTCTTTTTTCCTGCCTATATACACGCGCCCTTCTCTGATATTTGAGTTTTAAAAGGGCATTCTCGTCACGGCGCTGAAGATGGAAAATTTGCAAAAGCTTGAAACTCGAGTGTTATTCCTACTCAGCCGAGTGGAATTCCTCTTCATTTTCAGGCGAAGACACCAGGATTTGACGGCAGAAAGGGACGTGGTAGGGTTGAAATGGGCGGCAATATCGCTGGTGCTGTGAGGCAAGCAATCGAGGTCTGACGACCCCCCGTTGAGACCACCGTCCATAATGCATAGTAACTGGGAGACAGAGAGACACCATGTGTAAGGGCAGATGCGTGTAGGGATTATCTCTATCGGTACAGAAAAGATTGGGAAATTAGATCAAGGTCGAATACGCGCTTTTTGTTCCCAATACCACACCATGATTTTTCAGTTCTATTTTTTTGTCGCATCCATGAGTGACGCCACCATCACGCTAAACAAAAATCCGTTAAACCAGCTGTTGTTAAGCTAAGCAACGGGTTGGCAAAGCTACATAAGGACACGGGTACCTCCCTTGCCCTATACATCCTTCGAAACGGATTTCTCTAAAGGCAACGTGTTTGACATATACCGAGTAGTAGACGTGATTCGATATTCTACCCCCACCCTCCCACACACACACACACACACTGACCTCCCCCAAGGGGGACATCTGACGGAAGTTGTTCCATCGTCCCACCGATCCGCCAGCGATCTCATTCACGCCGGCATGGCTGCCCTACTTGACCGCCAGTGACTTGCGGTGGATTTTTTAAACATGAATTCTCGCGTTTTTATCACCGCGTTTTGAGAGGTTTCCCCCCTTAACACACAGTTCCTGGACCATAACAGGCGCTATAAGAGCTGTCATAATGTTGATACAGCGTTCGATTGACCTAACAGTCATTGATTTCCTACAGGCATTTTTTTCACATTTTCACCTCACCGATTTGAGGCCATATTTTACTTCCGAAAAAGAAACAAATGGATACAGAAAGACCATCATTTGAAATTGTGTCCTCCACAAAATAGGGAGTTAAGGGGCATCATTTCAGAGAACTTATTCACACTCGGACACTGTGACAAACAGACCTTTAAAACTGACAGATGCGTGTCATGCAGGAAAAAATGCCGATAGACGTTAAGTCAGGTAGCATACCTCACAAATGCAATTCAGACCTTAAAACAACAGTTATAACAAGCAGGAAAGCAAACCTTGTAAAGGTGTTTCCCTTTGGAAAATCGTTAACTCGGACAAGAACTGACGAAAACACCGCGATCGTTGAACTCTAGTCCTTTCCAAGGAATAACCGAGCGGACGTCGGATGTCACACTACACCCACTGCTATGACATAGTGACTGCGCCATCGATTTGGCGGAAAACATTACTCCCGCGCGAGGGAAGCGCGCTCGTGTATCGGATGTCGCCGCGTATGCGCGCGTGTTGCAGGTGGCGCTGCCCAGGCAAAGAACGAAAGACTCGATCAGCAGCGGAAGAGTGTAGACATCATCAGGTCTGAAAAAACTAAACTGCTACTGGAGTGACCGTGTGAGAGATCGAGCTGCAAGCAATACCTTAGTTAGCATCTTATAACGTTTGTCTGCAAATTTTCACCGCCCTGCAGTGTTGGGCTCATAGAGTTGTTCTTGAGTTGCAATGGTTAGCGTGGACAGTCTTAATTTGTTTGTCATGTCAATTCCTCCTTCTCGTGAAAACCCCATAAACACATGCAAAAGCTTTGAACAATTATTAATTTTCGGATCCCAACGAAGTATCATCACAAACAATACCTATCATTGCGTAGACACATGAAATGGACCCGTCCCTGATCGATGAACGGCACTGTTATGATCAAAAAATGGAGTAAACCATCAAACACGAATGAAACATCCCATTGATCTTTTTGTCCAAACACTTTCATATGGTTGAAGACTGCTGAACAGGACGAGGAAGACAATCTGTGTAAAAATCAAGTCATCGCCCAAGTATGTCCCTCCAAGAAAAAAACAAAATGTTGGAAACATTAATATTGTTCACAATCTCCATACACAGTCCGCAAGAAATCGTAAAACCTTGTCAGATAGGTTGTCTTGTTGGTGAAAATAGAATGGGACATGCCCAGTACAGTTTGAAAACCTTGGAAGAAAAGTAATAAATAATCAAAATCGAATGGTTTTGAATCTTCAACGCCACGTTGAGAAAGTACTTCGAAGTAAAAACGGACTAACTGATTTCATTATTTCACGCAGTGGTCTAGTTTTATTCTTGTATCATGTGTATCATGTGTTCATAATTTCTTTATTTTTTCTTCATCCGATGTCATTTTTTTGGTAACGCATATAATCTGCTTGTCGCACATCAGCTCTTCAATTTCTGATCTCAGCTCCCTGTCTGTGGGCCTCTGTTCCCAAAGGCGGGGAGATAGAAGAGATTGTGTGAAATAATTGGCACATTTCCCCCCGAATCCTTCCGTCTTCGAAAACTTCAGCCAGGGATATCGTCGCTGTCTTTGGCTGAAATTCGATCTCGCCAAGCTCCAGCGGGAAGAAAGTTGGCTGAATTATTTAAGAATCCTGTCTGTCGCAATCCGGCTCATACATTTTGCAAGCACGTCGAGTTTTGAGGGTTTTTTATACAGGTATTAAAGAGGCAGGCACTAAAATTAGCTAACAGAGAACAAACGATTTTCAGAGTAAACGTATCGTAGAGCAAAAGACACCACTAATGAACGAATTCCTCCCAGTGCGACCACTGATTACAACAAACGTTCCTGTTGAATCAATATTACAATGGGAGATTTGCTGCCAATCTGCCTGAAGCGCATTTCGTATACTGCGCGCGCAGTGCCCTCTCCTGAAACGAATATAATACGTACCATGGACTAAATTATGCCAAATTGTTTTTTCTGGTTACACAAGTCACCAAGATACGATTGGAATTATTCAATCCAGTTAGGTTAGGGGGAAATATACATTAGGCAAAAAATGTGCGATAAATGTTTACAATGCGTAAAATCACTGATTAATAATGTGCTCCCATATTGAAATGATGAGTCTTTTGTTAATTATTGCGCTTCGCATCGTTCAGAAGTCAGAGAATGAAGAAAGAATAACTCAGCTTACCACATCCCTTGACATTTTTGTCTTTTTTAATGTCTGAAACCCGAATAAAGGAAAGCAAAGCACTAGGTTAGAAAAATGAAAGATAACAAAATTGTAATACTGATATGTACATCTTAGCAACCAAAATTGCAGACTTGTAGACTGTCCATGTCAGTGCACCCCTTTAACCACACTTACCATCTCGTCATTAATTTTCCCCCTTTCTTTCATCTTGGGTTCATTCCAAGTCCCTTTTCCCTAAGCCTCAGTAGCAACTTTCTGATGCAAATGGAGCGTTGCGGGAATCTTCCAGAGTGATCTATTTCCTGCGGTGGTTCCATTCAAGATTTCATCTCTCCGGAGACAGTGCGATCTCGTCTGCTCGATACGGGTGCCCCACGAGGGGGCCAATAAAGCGAGCCAATCACGACTCGCGTCGGCCCCCTCCGCGACTGCATGCACCGGCTACCGGCCAACCTGAAGGGCCTAACCATTATCCAGATTTGCGTACGACAGATTGTTCTGTCCACAGGAGCAAGCGGTCTTTACTCTTTGCTCTTTCGTGTGTCCATGGAGAACAATTTTTTGTTGAGGATTTTGCTTGACAGCTTATAACTGTCATAGAAAACACTCCATTTGGATTTAGGGGAAAGGGGTATCGATTTTAAATTAACGGTGATTCTTGTACTTTTTTTCTACGGCGTCTGCTCACCCTAGAACTACGAGAGCTGGGTGA